ACAACTTTACGTCCCAAACGCCTTCCTTGCCCGCCCGCCTACTTTTGGACGTATAGGATCCCTCCACGAGGACGTGCCGCTTTGGACCGTTTTCGTGGGGGATCCTACGTGTAATGTGGTTTGACGTAGGAAAAAAATCCTTCTTCTAGTAGTGCGCATTTTGGTTTATTGTTTTTTTAGTACTATGAAGACTTTTGAAATTTATTTGATCTTCCTTCCTTCGTAAAAGTTATTTAGGATATCTCGTTGGAACTTTGTCGATAGAAAATCTCTTTTTATTCCATGTTTAAGACTTTTCCATAGCGATTTTAATTGGGTTCTCATGATATTGTTATTTTCAGAAGAGGTTTTTCAATCGAATGAAGGACGCAGCATTGAGTATTATAGCCTCCAGCGCATTTGGTAGAATAAGCTTGTCGGCACAGGTTCGCAGTTCTTCTGTTCGTTGGAAGTTCTCTCTGCAGAGTAAGCGAATACAAGCACTTTGTGTATTTCAGGTAATGTGTCAGAATTCGCGGGGTTCGGTGGCCGTCGACGTCAGCTGTTTGTTGCATAGAGGCCTTTTCGGTTGCGTAGAAAGTATAGTCCAAGGGAAAAAAACGAATTTGTAAGTTACTGCTTATGATAATGAGGCCTTTTCGATAAACCCGGCAGAGTCCGCATTCATACTTTGTGATCCGATCTTTTATGTCGATGTACTGAATTGTGCTTAGCTTATAGTCTTTCATACTTTGCGAAATTGTTTTGAGCTTACTACAGCGTTTCCAGCCACTCGTATAGGTGTCGATCCATCGCTTTGAGCAAACATCAGGGTACGGGCTTTTTCAGTGGATGCTGGCGTACACTCAAGACGCCGGCGCGCACTCAGAATTCTAGTTCGACAGCTATACTTTCCTAGTCGCTCAAAACGCTTACGCAAACTATGAAATACTCTAATCAAATAACCTCTTTGTGGGCGGAATTTGTGGTTTTTAAACTTTTTCGCTCGAAAATCGCCTTACAGCTATGTCTATTATGTGGAAAAACACATCAAAGCATTGCTGAATCTCGGCTGTCATGTTGTCATGGTATTCGATGGTCGTCCTATTCCTGCAAGGAAGGTGCTCATTAGATCGTTAGTACGTAGTTGTTCAAGTTTTCGTGTTTCTGGGGAACTAATGTTCAAAACAAGAAAGCGGTTCATACTTTGTGTAAAGGAGAGTCCGCATTCCGAGAGAAGCAGAATCTGGGCTGTGTAGGGTGCTCATGTAAATCTTTGTCGCCGATTTTCTCGAATCGCAGAGTCTCTCAAGTCGAACATTCTTACACGCGCGAGTTCGTCGAATCATAAGTATACTTTCTCTTGTTACTCGTTCTCCGGGTCGCTGATTTTCCTTATTCACGAAGTATGAACACGGTCTTGTACATTCGATGCGACTCACTGAGGTCTTCTTGGAGCGCTTTATAACATAGGAAGGTGCCGTTGAGCAGGATACGAATGATGGGCGACGACAACGGCGTGCCGATAATGTCAAGGCTGGTGAACTATTTCTTGCTGAAGGGAAAATCAACGAAGCCATGAACAAATTCAAACAAGCTACTTCCATTACTTCTGACGTCGTGGAAAATGCCATCCAGGTGTGTTATGCTATTTAGTATTGCTAATGAACTGATTGCATATTCTACAGTCTTTTACAGCATTTTCATGGTTTTACGAATGTCGATGTGATTGTTTCGCATGCCGTCACATATCTTTCCAGCGTTCTGACCGCGCACCTGTGCTACATCACAATACACCGGTAATTTATGCTTTTCATGTTATCATGATGTTTCTTCTTTAATGATATTGCGAAGGGACTCATGTAGTCAATATTTCAGATAGCTTTCAAATGAAACTGTGAGCGGGGAGATTGCTTGATCTATGAGAAGAGTCGGTTGCCGCGATGTTTTACGGGTGTAATGGGTTCAGCAGTTTGACTTCACAAAGTTTCGAAGAATATGTATTTTGTTGGGATGTGATTATCTCCAGGTTAGCTTTTCCCTAAGTTTCAATAACAGGATTAGTGAGTAAAAAAAGACATGTGTTCCAGACTGGAATTACCGGGTATTGGTCTTAACAAAGCTCTTTCATTCTTCTCGAAGACCTCCAGAACAGATCTCCGTAAGGTATGATACTTGATTGTTGCAGTGTATTTTGACCACTCAAGTTGGTTTTCTGTTGCAGTTGCTACCTCGAATCCCTCACTACCTCAACATGTCGAAACTGCGTGTTTCAAAAGAATTCATTGAGGATTGATTGATTGATTGATTGATCGAGAATTCATTCAATTTGATTGTGCCACTGACGTTTCACAATAAATGAATTTATTTTATACTTCCATTAGAACAATTTCATGACAAAATGAGTGTCGAAATCTTCTATCACCATCTTTTTGACCGGGTACGTACACGTTTCCGCAATAGAGCCATTTGTAGGCAGACGCAATTCACCTGAACAGTAGAGAATTGCTGCGAAGAACAAGTTTCTAATACAAGTGACCATAAAGTTCTCTGCGGACGGTTGGGCGTGTCAGTGCGGTTGCGTTTGGCGCGGTGCCAAACCCGCTCTCCACCAGTTTTAAAGCGAACAAATGATATGACTGTATCATATCGATCGTATTACTCGTTTTCTACCACTTTTTGTCGCATGCGCGCCTAACCAAGAAGGCAGAGAACGGCCTTGACGCTGTGCACACTCATACTGGCTGACACGCCCAACCGTCTGCAGCGAAGAAGAGTGTAATTAACGTCTTCTGTGAAAAGTAATACAATGAAATTCTTAGAATGTCCACACAAAGCGGTAGTGGTGTTTGCCCGGTCCCCATGGGTGATCCACCCGCGGATTTGGTCGAAAGGGTGCTTGAAAAACACCACGCTCTTGAAGAGAAGAGGAAGAAGGAGCGCCAAAGGAGGTAGCGTTATAATTGTAAGTGTTGGAACATAGTCACTGTTGATAGTTCAGCACCTGTCACCTTCTCGGTCGGTCCCTCTCTCCTTCAAGGCTTCTTAACACGAAGTGGTGTCTGTGTGGATCATGTGTGATTTTCACAACGACACATGATAACGTGTGCTGTCGCGAATTAGTTGAGGAGGCAGATGAAATGGATGGTTCCCATCAACGGCGAGAAATTGCGCGAAGGCTGAGGGACAAGTTGAAGGACATGAAAGGACAATGTATCGTCCAACACCCGTCCTTCCATAAAGTCGTTTTGGATTCAGAGGTGTCCCCTTGTTTTTACCGTTATTCGTACCTGTTCAAACATTATACAGGTACTGCCTGTTTGGGTTGAAAATCGACGGTATGAAAAAAGAAGAAGGATGGAAGCTCGGCATGAAGAACCAAACAAGCCAGTCTTTTATTTCATAGGTTTTACGCGCGCAGTAGACTCAGTCCATATTTTCAGAATTTTTCGCTACTATGCCTATAGATCGTTTGTTGCCTGGGCCTACGGTCATCTTGGCCTGGGTAAACGATATGAGCTTCCAGCATGTGTGAGAGCAGCTATAATGGCTGAGTACCCTTCCAACACAGGAAATTACGTTGGGTTCAAGGTGGGTTGCTGAAGAGGATGATTATACTTTTCTTGCCAACTCTTACAATTTAGCGAACCAGTGACAAGGATCCGCCATTGGAATGCGATGAGGATGAGTGGCGGGACAGGGATTTTTGAGCCGTATGATAAATTGAATAAGCATAATAAAATGTAACATGAAAAAGGTATAGCGATATACAGTTCTTCCTCATCCTGATCTTGAGCATATTCGCCAGTGAAGTGCGCCAGACGACGAGCAAGCACATCTTGGTAAATGTACTTTCTCCAGAGCTGCTCACAGGAGACTTCACGGAAAGCTTAGTTTTCCTAAGCAAGTACTTCCGCTGCACTTCGAAGGTCTTCACGATCTTTCGTTCTTTTGTGTGCTCGGCCAACCTCAGGCTATTCATGTGCATCGCGCACATTTTGGCATAGTAATGGTACGTCGATATAGGACTGGAAAGAACAATTAGGGATACCTTAATCGTGGTCCCAACAAAATTCACCCACTAAAAAATTTCCTTTCGGCAGTATATCCGGTCCAAAGAATTCTTCGACTCGCAAATAGATGTACCCCCGTATGGGCTAGCCATGGCGAGGTCTCGCTGGAAGGACTTGCTGAGCACAACGTTCCGCACATTCTCGTAGGCCTTACTTCCGGGGTCTAGAGAATGAGGGCGCGGTCCTTCCAGGGGTCCGTGGCCGCAACATAGGTAAGGCCCTGTGATGTCGTCCTGAACTTTATTTGCGTTTTGTTTGTATTATTTCCAAAAGGGAAGACAGACCTGGGGCCACTCGTGCACATCTCTAATGTGCATAAGGCACGTGTTGAAAATAGGAGGTATTGCCAGCCCCTCCTGCGCGCCACCTACAATGGCGGACCACAAATGGGTCTTCAATGGTTCAATCCACATAGTTATGAGGTCACATCCCTTTCTTTTTCGATTCCTGTAACCATATGAATCCTTTACGGAGGTGAATTCCAGCGGCGATTTCAGCCTTCTCACCTTACGGAGCTCGTTACCGAGCCACTTCACTAAGTGCCATCCGTCATAGTAATGACGGATGGCACCGATTTCAGGCTCCATTTTCCTCAAGAGAGCACCAAAAGATCTGCTCCTATCTGTCGTCAACGATGCCACATAGAAACCATTGGATTTCAACCAAAGAAGCAGCCTCCGAAGCCCTTCCACCTCCATCCTTCCGCTGACACCCCCTAAAGAGGACTTTTCAAACGCACCACCTGTTGTGGTTTCGTCATGACCATGCAGGTACACACCTGTTTCCGAACGATGTAAAACTTCGGTGTGGAGTACAAGTTTCGTACGAGTGTCAGCCAAAACCACCTTTCCTATGAGAGCCGAATACCCTCGGCTGTCATATGCCCCATCTGCTGCTAAGTCAAGCCCCACACTCTTCTAAATGAGAAAGATTACTACTCGTTTCGTTGATTCTCTCAACACACTCAATTCACCCCATAACATCCGCGCACGATATCCATGACCACACGTTGTTGAGAGTTATAGACATGCTCTATTGCAGGCTTTGTCCATTCAAACACCTTCTTGAAAAAAGATCTTGAAAAAACGCCAAATTCAACTCCTTCGCCCATCGTTCAAGCTCCTGAATAGATACTTGTCTACTGACAGTGGTTACTCCCAGAAAACACAACTCACAACGTATCGCATTCCCGTTGTGATAGCAGCGACTGACGCAGCAACGTTTCCTTGATGTGTCCGCTCTTTGGTGTGCGGGACCGTTCTCTCCTGACTCTCCCAGCGCTGCACACGGGTCGAGCATTTCTTACAGGCAAATCTCACAACAGCAGCGGTCCCGACTGCGACAAGCTCTGATGCTTTTAACTGCTGTCCACATGCAGGGCAGAAACGAAAGAGCTGCATTAGTTGTCTTCCCTTTCACAAGGTAATACTGCTCTAACGCTTCTGGAACAGTCTCCTTAAGAGGTGCATCCAAGCCCGAGTCAGACGTCGACGAGTCTTCCGACGCATCCTCATCACTATCCGACTCCTCCAAGCTCTGCAAGTGCACTACATTCAGGTTCAACTTCATGGTCTAGCTCCTCTTCCTGTTCACCCGCAGAATACTCATATTGCGTACTAGCACCAAGGAATTCTGACCAAGCACCAGGCTCCTCACAACTTCTCTCATCATGCCCACTAATTTCGGCCTAGATGATAGCTGTAACAGATTTGAATCAATTCCATGATTGGTTCGTCACCTCCTCCGTCACTGGCCAGATTGATGTTGAGTAGTACCGCTTAAAAACGTCGTTAACAAAATTCCCAATTTCGCGAGCAGTGATGGAGACTCTACCCTGATCCGTAGTAAAGAGGGTATGTGCAGTCCAATAAATTAGAGCGCGTTCAGACTTCGCGATCGCGCGATCGCTGTGATCGCGTGATTTGGATCGCGCGATCGCGCTACTGTGGGTGAAATTACACCGGGAGGGGGTCATGTTCGTTCATGTTTATTGTTCCTGTTCTTTTTTTCCTTTTCCTTCTTTCTTCCTTTGTGTACATAACGCCTCCTAATTTTAAGGAACGTTTCGAAATATCTTTGAGTTATTTATTATTTCCTATGTAAAATAGTACTAAATATACAATATGCTAATTATTATACTGAATTTTGCATCTGAGTACGTTCAAGCGGAGTATTGAACATCTTGTTCCAAAAGTAAGACACGCAGAACTTTCAACAGCGGGTGATGTTGTTTCTCTCCCTTCCCCCGATTTTGCCAGTTCTCCAGATATTCACTTTACTTTTGTCACATGTTTGCTTTGTTTGTTCTGCCATCCTCCAGGTCTATACACAACCTTTCCTTTCGACGGTTTCTGCAAACGTCAGTATTGCGAATATGAACACGGAATAAAAGACATCAAAAAAGGTCGAACTACTTTTATATCGTTTTTGGAACTGCCTATTGGAGGCAGGATACAGCATCGTGATGTGAGAAATGGTGATATCAGTACGACTCCCCAGAACTTTGTTGTTGTTGTTTGTTGAGTTGAGTTGAACACGAACGAACATGACCCCTCCCGTGTATTCACCGCCACAGTAGGGATGATCGCGCGATCTGTGATCGCGGCGATCGCGAAGTCTGAAAGCGCTCTGGTACGAGGCACATACTTCCCGCCATGGTGTTAAACAGAAGAAGCAGGTTCTTAGGTATGTCTCCATCCGCGACACATGCTGTACGCTCGGAAACGGTTGGATCCTCCATATGTGATATGGCCTTCCCTGCCATCACATTTCAGCCAAAATATATTGCGCCTGATCAGAACGATAATAAGTAGGGCTATGCAACGGTGATTGTGCACTAGCTTACTTACCGCTTGCACTGAGTGCATGTGGCATGTTTTGGGACGCTGTTTCGAAAGGGACTCAGCTCCACAAAGGACGCTCTCCCTATCCACTTGACCGGCCATCGACAGGGCCGCAAACATTACAACGTTGGGCTTTAACACCCGCGACGCGACCCTGCCGTCCTCATTTGTCAGCACCTTCCCACATACACCGCACGGTCCTCATTTTCAGAACAAGTTAGCTAAAATGTCACAAACTCACAAAAAATGATTGATATTAGATCTTATTAAATGCCAAACGGGTGTCATATTCGTGTTCAGAGAGCAAGACTACCCGGGACATGTTTCCAGCCAGATGTGAGGTTTTGAGCTAACTCTGGAAAGTGCGGTGGCAGTTGATCGCACGATGATCACCAATAGTTGGGCCAGTCTCTTGCCGATGATTCAGATGAGATTTCCTTTCAGATATCAGGATAGCTGGAGCAGCAAAGAAATGAATACGTAAGAAGTGGCAAGACGAGGTTTTGAGGACGAGGAGAGTATCTGCAGCTGAACAAGTGTGAACATCAACTGGACTGACCCATAGATGCTACACTCTTCAAAGTCAAGTCAAAATCACTTTTGGCTCAAAACCTTAACTTAGGTATAGTAAGCTCCGATGAACACGAGTATGGCACTCGATCAGCGCGAAAACGCCTGCACTGTGCGCCAAGGGCACCTGCACATCCAAAAAATTCTCCTAGATCACAAGGCACCAAGCGCGCCAGTAAGCGAACAACTGTTTTTCAGGCAAGTACGGGGGAGCGCTAATGTACTAGTGACTGACTACAACAGCTTCCTGCCACCTTAGCTAGAAAGCAGAAAGGTAAACCCAGCACGGTCCCGATCTCATAATCCGTTGCATGGTAAATGCAGGGGAAAACCCTATAACTCCGTTCACAGAATCGCAAATTTCGAAGGAAGGTTTGAGTTCAGTGTCTAAATCATGCTCGTGAGTTACATCTCATCGAAAATGACAGCTTCAACCTGGCGACCTTGCCTAGTAACCATGACACCTCCACTTATAGTTGATGCATGCACCACTACAGCTTTGTGGTGAAAAAGCAAAGGAAAAAAAAACACGGTACGGTAACTTCAGTAGGCGAACAATCGTACACCGTACCCCAAAGGAGCCGTAAATAAATCTGGGTGCACACCAAACACATCATCTCACGACAACAGCGTCGGAATCGCCTGGATAACGCACGTATGTGTTGTGGTTGCTATCGCATCGAGCATTTTTTGAACGTTTGAGAAGAATAGTAGTCATCGATCGTCGTTTTGAGGGCCGATCGACAACTACACGAGACTTTTCGCTCAAAACGCTACGCTCTCGTGCCCGTACTGCATTTCGTTCAGGGAAACTAAACTTGTCATCATTCCTCGTATCGCATGAAACAGCAGAAGCACCAACGGAAGCAAGCAGGCAGTGGTAACCACACAACAAGGATGGCTCTACTGTCAACAGAAACATTTATAAATGTATATGTAGATAATTGGAAACTTCTCGATTATGAAAAGAAGCAGGGCATTTATCACGGAATGAATGCGGGACCTGTGAAGGAGAACACATGCAAAACTATGTTGTTCTACCAATTTAATCAAGCGTTCGGGGGAGTCTCGTGACATTTTCATCTGGGGAAAGCTTCAATAAGATGCCTTAGTAATGTGCAAAAACTCCACTGCAATGTCATGAGAAATTCTGACCCAAACGCGGACTATTTTTGATGAAACCCAACTATACAAGCACATTTATAAATAGAAAAATGAGGCATT